TCACTGAAATTAAAGAACAAGTTGCTGAAGCTACAGAATACTCGGTAAAAACAATTAAACGAATAATTATAGAAGGTGGCCAGATATCAAAAGGTGAAAATTCTACGCCGAACATACCTAAACAATTGTTTAAAAGTCCAAAAAAGCACAGAAGGACATCAAGTGTAACAGATATTCCATCCTACAATATTGGAACAATCAGAGATAAAGTTTATAGATTTCACGAAACAGAAGGTATGCGCATAACAGTCAAAACTCTTAATTAAAAATTAAAAAAGGAAATTGAGTGGAAAGGGGACTACACATCATTAAGAACTATTTTTAAAAAAATTGGGTTCAAGTGGCGAAAAACGTGAAACAACAGACAGGTTCTAATAAAATGGCTTGACATCAGGGAAAAAAGAATAGATTATATTAAATTAGATATTTTCGTTCTTAAAACCGTCCCTTTGTATATATTGATGAAACTTACATACATAGTTCATCAAATTTCTAGAGGCTTTCAACGGCTAGACAGAGAAAGCACTACTGAGAGGCATCGGTTGGCGGGGCCGACGGATTTACGCAATGAAAGTACACTCTGCGCATCAAGTATTTCACTATTTTATTCAGACGTAAATGTCAGATGTAAATTTCGCTAAAACATTTCTTTTATTTTCGTTTGTGTTTTTTGCTCATTACAGTTTAATAGAACCTAAGTATGGAGTTTTTTAGCAAATTAAGAGGCCGCGTGATTAACAGTCAATCTCGCGAAATAATAGCCAATGTTATAGAGTTTATGAGAAGAGAAGGAAACTTTAATTCACCTTCAATACCATTTAAAAATGTAAATGATCGTGTTGCTGCAGCCACAGGAGTATCTAAAAACACTGTCGTCCGCATTTCTGGAGAGAAAAAAGAATCGATAACCGTGAGATATCGGAATTTTTATCACCAAGAAAAACCATTAAAAAAACCAAAAACAGTTAATGATATAGATGAAGCTGACAAAGGTATTTTAAAAAGAATTATTCTGTTCATGTTAATCTCGGAAAATATTGTTCCAACATTAAAAACAATTCTGACTAAATTTAGAGAAGCTACAGGGTATAAAGGAAGCTATGAAAGTTTAAGAAAAATAATAAAGTCGCTAGGATTTCGTTGGCGGAAAACAAAAACAAACAGAAAAATATTAATGGAAAGGTTTGATATTCAAAAGCTACGTTTAGACTATCTGATTCGTTTATAAAGTTATCGAGCAGAGGGCCGTCCAATTGTCTACTTAGATGAAACATACATTCATGCCTCCCACACACACCAGAAAGCTTGGAGTGATAATTCAAATGAGGGATTAAAGAAACCAATTAATAAAGGTGATAGACTAATTATTGTCCATGCAGGAGGTGAAATGGGCTTTATTCCGAATGCCCGGTTAATTTTCAAATTTTGAACCAAAAGTGGAGACTACCACGATGAAATGAATTTTAATAATTTTTCTAAATGGTTGAAAGAAAAGCTGTTTCCGAACCTCCCTCCAAGAAGCGTCATTATTGTTGATAATGCTCCTTACCATAATGTCCAGGTAAATAAAGCACCAACGTCAACTTCTAAAAAAGCTGACATGCAGGATTGGTTAAGGAATCATAATATTGCTTACGAAGAGGATATGCTCAAAACGCAATTATACAGTTTAGTGCTATTGCATAAGTCACGATTTAAGAGGTATGCAATTGAAGAAATGATAAATGAACATGGTTTTAGTTGTTTGCGTTTGCCACCGTATCATCCCGATCTTAATCCGATCGAATTAGTGTGGGCATCATTAAAACAATATGTAGCTAGTAACAACACTACATTTAAGAGGCAAGACGTACAACTGTTGTGTGAAGACTTTTTTGATACGTTTTCTAAAGAGGAGTGGCAATCTCGTTGTAATAATGCTAAAATGTGGGAATCTAAATTTTATGACAGAGAAGTTACTTTGGATGAGGCAACTGATAGATTTATAATTAACTTAAACAGTGACAGTGAGACTGATTTTTAATCTGATATGGAAACTGAAGAAAGTTTTTCGGAAGACCATTAAAATTATATCTGTACCTAAGATCAAAAAAGTATTATCTATTTTTACAACGAAGATGCACAAGAATCAAATTTTATTTTTTTATTATTAGATAGCTATTTTTGTTTCTGAGTTGTGTTCATTTACAGGCTCAATTTTTTTCCGTTTCTCCTTTTTGATTTTATATGGGGTTTCAAGTTGTTTTTGACTTATTTCGACGTAAATCACAACAGCACACTTTTTTAATAAAGCAAACAAGTGTTAAGAGGTATATGTACGTGTAAACTACAATTACAAAAAATTGATATGAAACCCATGAAACCACCAACAAAAATGTAAAGCTAGCTTCCGTACTAGAACATGGTGTCATTCGTCGAGATAATTTATCGTTTTGTTTAATAGATCAAGAAATGTAAATATTCCCCTGTTATTTTTTATAAAATTATAAGAGAAATAAATTTTTTTCTAAATAGTATAGTTTATTATTTTGTAGAAAAACAAAATTTCAAAAATTTTAGTAATGTTTCAGGAACAACCGTTATTAATAATAGGTACCATTTTCCTTAATAAGGTAGAAATAAAATATAAACTATTTCCACGATTTACAAAGGCCTACAAAAAAATTATAGGTATTTTCCGCTATCCTATAAAATTTATATTTTCTGACTCAATTTCAGAAGGTTGAAGGAATTCCAAAACACCTTTTATGGCATAATAATTATTTTCAATTCTACATACTATCTTTAGCTGCTTTTAAAAACGTTCTAAGAAAGTCCAATCAGACCAATTTAATCCCTAAACTATTCCACACTTTTAAAATTTAATTACCTAAAAATATTAAAAACTATTTAAAATAACTTGTTTAGCAGACTGTACAATAGCTATCTTAGTCACACGTAGCGCGTTCTCTGTCTGGGCGTCGAACACCTCTAGAAATTTGATGAACTGTAATTGGGGTGATGATAATGCAAAAGGTTTCTTTTCCACCATTTCGAAAGGAAAGAGACTTGTTATAGTTTATTCCTAGCAGTTTATTAATGTTTGTGTCTGGGTACAGATATTGAATTTCAACCTTTTTTATTCCGACCACAGCTGTGCACATTAATCAAACAGCATAAAAATAGATTCAAGCAATAAAAATTTGACAAATAATTCTCCGAACACGGTCATACAGTTTTGAGATTACCACCATACTACCCAGACTTAATTCTAATAGAAATTATCTGGGCTGTAGTAAAAAATAATGTAGCTATAAAGAATATTCATTTTAAATTAGCACATGTACAAATGTTAGCTGAAATTGAATTTAAATCAGTAACCCAAGAAGACTGGAAAAAAGATGTGCACATGTAATAGCTGTCGAAGATAAATATTTAGATCGCGAAATTAAAATAGATGCCATTTTAATTCCTACAGTTATTATTGATATTAATGAAGACATCAGTGATAGTTCTAGTGATAGAGACTATTTTGATGACGATTTTTTAGAACTCTGTTAATTTGTTTATATTTATTTTGTTTGATAGTAGTTACAGCAACAAGGAATAAAGGTTAGTATAAATTCATATTTTTAAAAAATCCTCGTTGTCTTATTTTAATATTTGTATGCTAATGTCTTTCACCACTTCTACTTCACCTTCACATTTTGTTAAAATATTAAAATATCAAATGCAAAATCACCATTTTTTAGCTCATAGATAACAAATACATTTTAACAAATTCTGTAGAGTTTAAAAACCTATTTACACAATTGCGTTTGATCCATTATGTAGGTACTCTGGTATTTCCTATAATACCAACAAATGATAGCCACTGTTGATAAAACATTCTTGGAAACTAGGGCGGACACGATTTGACCGTTATTAAGGATTAAAATTTTAGGTAATTTTCTTAAAATTTTGTGATTCATCTGACCGTGACCATTTTAAAAATTCTAGAAAATTTATTTTAAGCGAAAGTAGTATACGCTACTGAGCTTTAATAGTAGCCATTAAGATCGGTTGGAGGTGTGTCAGCAGTGCGCAAACTTTACCCCACTTCTAACAAATTAGGATGCGATACCTGTAAAACTTTTTAAAATACTATTTTTTAGGTTACTCCCAAATTAGATGTATTGATCATAGAAAATTGTTGTTTAATGCGAACCTGTAAAACGTTTTTAAAACTATCGGCTATATATCACCATATTCTCTAATTAGTATTCTGTTTAATTCGTGTGGTAAATGGCAAAGACGTCCCGAGGTGTCGACCTAGTGATCCACTCAACATCAGAAAGAACTTGATTTGGCCCCCCACATTTTCCAAATTCTTTGCCAAAAAACGGACATTTTTCGCTGCCTTACATTCACACCCTGTACAACAAGAAGCTATTAAAAAAAATATATTCAATGCCACTGACGCAAACAGCAAGGATGGCGCTTTCCACCTCTGGCTGAAAATCTAACATCGGCAAAGAAATGTCGAAGTTACAGCTAGTCAAAATTAGGCAATTTTTTGGCTGTCCCACTTCATCTACGGCGTAGTTTATATTGAACACCGAATTGTAAATTAGTCACATTTGAAAAAGAAATTGTACTTCGAAACATGTCATGTGTAGTGTTTTTAATTTTTATTTTATTTAAAATAAAAGTTTCAAGAAAATCTACCAAATTTGGTTTTACTCCTTTAAGAAAATATTATTTAACGGATTTTTCGATTTTTATCAAAGTACGAATGAAAACCTAAAAAATTTAAAAAACTATAATAATCTGACAGTTGTGACATTTATTTAAATCTGAACAGCAGCCAACTAAGTTTTTGTCGATTTTGTTGATTCTTCATATACCTAAATGTATGTGGTGTAGGCAAAGTGCCGTGAGAAAAAATATTTCTCACAGTATTAACAATACATGGTTTTGAAATTAGGTAAACTATGAGAAATAAGCTACTTTTCATAGCAGTTGTATAAAAAATATTTTACCTGTTCTTTTGTTATAGGAGTCAGAGGTGGCGTGGGATCTGGAAATTCTTCATTGTCTTGGACTAGCGATGGCAGTGGCGTGCCAGGTAAATTTACCTGGTTATCGTCATTTAGTTGCGGTCCAAAAGCATCTTTGACTGTTATTGTACTGCTTGTCTTCGACTAAAACAGATTAAACATTTATTATTACGTATTTCTGCATCCCTGGACAGTTTTAAAATAGTTGTTGAAAGAACTTTAGAGTTGAAATTTATTTCTAATTTTGACTTATAAAGTGACTTTCTGTAATCGCAGCAAATTTCAACCAGTTGAGTAAAGTTAAACATTAGGTAGCTGATTACGAACGAAAAATCCATTATGTAACCAATTGGGAAGAGAAAACAAATAAAAATAGACCCTTGTGGCTTTTAAAATCAATATATGGGTACCTACATTTTTATTGAAAGTTAATATAAAAATATATTTTAATAGATTACTGAACTTACAACCTAGTAGTAATTCTGTTAAATTTGCACAATATAATCAAAACAATAAACGACAAAATAACCCACTTTCTTGAAAATTAAATAACTCTAACAATCAAACATCCTATAACAAGTGTTTTTCTATTTTTGCAAATACTGTAGAACCTCGATTATCCGGACCAGCTGGGATCGAGCCTTTGCCGAATAATTGAAAACACGGATAGTCCAAAAACCTCATTTTAAATTTGTTTATAATTTATTTAGACAAATACTTATGGAAAAGGAACAAAAGAAACGTGATACATGTAATAAAAAATTTAAGTTTTAATATTTACACATAATGAAAGAATATATTATCGTGAATGTACAGTACAGATATTAATATATCTGGTTCAAAATTAATTTTCTGACGTTTGTTTTGTTAAAATTGATTAATCAACGTTTGATGGGCAATGATCAGAGTAAAAAGTAACAAGATAAAATGTATTTCCCATTATTGAAGGAAAAAGACCAGAGAGCAGAGTAAGGGTAGAAGCAGTTATAAGTTGCTATAGGAGAAAGAAGTCAAAGTGTGAGAGAGCAGAGAAAAACGGCAAAGTGCGGCAAAAAGTAAATCCTAGAAGATATATAAATTTTATTGAAATTAATTTATTTTTTTAGTTTCAAAATTAAATCTAAACCAATCAAATGTTGAGTGGCCATCCGTAAGTAACCAGCATTCATGCGCCAACCTGTGGCCGCCAGCCACAGATAATCCTCGCACTGATGATAAATTTAAAATGCCGCACGAAAAATCCACCGCACGGTTAAAGCACGAACGGAAAATCGGGATTCTACTGTAAATAGGTAAATGAAATGAAAGAATTTATTCAACTAACAATGCACGAAAATAATATTGGTTGCATAAATTTTAGTATATTTTATCAATCACAATTTTATAAATAATCTAATGAAAATTAGAAAAAATATGTAACACGTTACGAAATGCCGTTATTTAGTCTGGTATGTAAAAAAGAAGAAAATCAAGTTTTACAAATAAATTTATTATTTATTTTTATTAAATGCTAATATGCAGTATGCAGGAGATATGGCGGATAGCGTCCCTTCTATCTTCTAACAATACGGTGCGGTTGCCGAATTTTTAAAAAATAGCTCTTTATTCTGCTATTAGTCTAAAATTACATTCAATTCAGCTACTTGTTTCGGTATGCTATGGACGTGATTATCAAATTCCATCTAATGCAGAGCATCCCATATCAACCAAATTTCGTGCCTTATTTGCTCTATGATCTCTGGTCTCCGAGGAAGATTATGGAATCTTCTATTGTATCCCTACACATGTTCAATGGGGGATAGGTATGGAGAACGTTTATTCGAGCAATATGGAACGGAGCGCTATCTCGCTGGAATAGGACGTCAGGGATGCCTTAGATATATAAGATGACAACAGGCTCTAACACTTCCTGTTTATACTGATTTACATTCATTTTGCCTGAATAAATACCATAGGATCTACTTCCGTGGCAGATGGCTCCCCAAATCACACTCTTTGACGTCAATTATATATTTCCAATCAGAACCTGGATTTGTCAGAAAAGGAAACTGAATTCCATTCATCGTCCCAATTGATTCGTTTACAACATCATTCCAGTCTTTAACGTCGATTCTTGGGCGTCAGGGGAAGCACCAAGCGCGGCCAAAAGACCCAATAATACAGCAGTACACGAACGGATGAGACAGCAATTAGTCGGTCTGCCGCATTGTGCCAAGCGGCTATCCCATGAATTCTGGAAATGTTGCGGTATCTGAAAGCCAAAAGTAGTAAGTACTGATTTTGTACCTCTGTAGTTACTCTACGTCAGTGTTGCTCGAATCGTGGGCGTTATCTGCTACAGAAGTAGATGTCCTCTAGTGTTTATTCATGCCACTATGAAAGTTGTCATCCCATATGTTCAAGCCATCCCTCAGCAAGATAACGATCGGTCTCTTAAACTGCCCGTGAAGCGTCTTGAAGTGTCTTGAACAAACATAGTTGCTGTCTTGCGCTAGGCTTAATGTTCTCTATTGATCATGTGTAAAGTGTAGGATATGATGGGGAGAAGACTCTACAGAGAGCATCATAAGTCTTACCCCCTATCTAACTCGTTACTAAAGTCTTGTTAAGAAAATCGCCGACACACGTCGATTTTTGATTTCTACAGTGTACATTTTTGTATGAATAGTTTACCCTTAATTTCATCTCTTACTGGAGAGGAGCAACCCTTTCGAAAAATTTAAATGGCACGGGGTGGTGAGTGATAGCTCATTTGAAAGGGGGTTTTATTTTCTATTTAACCGTGCAAAAAATTTTGAAATTTGCCTAATTAATTGTCGAATAATTATTGTTTCAGAATAATGAAAATTAACCTAGCGCACTCATCCTTAGAATTAAAATTCGGCCCTGCATGATATCGGTTTTGGTTCAGACTTTTTGTCATTAGATAAGACGACTGTTAGTTTATTTGCTTTTCTGTTTGTGATGTTTTGTTATTTTTACACATTAATAAAACAACACGTAATGAAGCAAATTTCAAAATTTTTTGCATGATTGAATATAGAATGAAACCCCCTTTCAAATGAGCTATCACTCACTACCCTATGCCTTTTAAATTTTTCGAAACAGTTGCTCCTCTCCAGAAAGGGATGAAATTAAGGGTAAACTATTCATACAAAAATGTACATTGTCGAAATCAAAAATCGACGTGTCTCGGCGATTTTCCTAACAAGACTCCAGTAAAAAGTTAGATAGGGGGGTAAGACATATGATGCTCACTGTATATTTCCTGGAAGCCAGAGACCATAGAGCAAATGAAGCTCGAAATTGGGTTGACATGGGATGTCGACAGCATATCGAGACGAGTAGGTTATGTTTGGAATGGGGTGTTAATACGCTGCAATCTAAAAGATCTATTGTGTCCCCTTCTGCCGCTAATGCAGCAAGAAAATGTATCGATGTCTATATAGCGACCCTTCTAATCCTATCTTCTCAAGAAAGTGTAGGATTTGGAGTGGCTTCAAGTAAGCTAAATCTGAATGTACAAATTTACGATGAGAACCTACACATTTTTAAACCAATTATATGTTATACTTCTACCATTATTTTAATAAACTGGTATTTAGTTAATTCTGTTATAAACGTGTCAATTTCAAAACTATGGATTGGCTGTACATTGAATTTTGTTTTAGAATGGAGGGGGAAATAGTTTAGTAGTGACAACAGTTTTTTGAATTTTCCCTAAGCAGGGTAGCTATATCTCAACTTCAAAATTATTTTAAATTTCACGATCTTTGTACACTGCGTACAGAAATATTAGTGATGAAACATTTCTATTTGTGAAAGAACTTGTAATATGACTTTAACCCGAATACGATCCTGCTTAGACGACCTTTTATGTCCCGCTCAGTGGTATCATTTTGACTATAATACATAGTATTTTTAACAGACTTCAAAAAAGGAAAAGGTTTTTTTTTGATATGTATGTTTAGCGATAATTCTTTACTAAGTACGTTATCCGATTTCTATGATTCGTTAGGGGGTAGTTCCGTATACAATTGGTCAGGATCTTATGATCTATTTTTAGGGGCATCTGCACGATTTTAAAATTACTTTTATAACTTGTATACGCATGCGTACATGTCAATTTTATGTTTACGGCATTCCAACCCTCTTATTTCAAAATCGAATTTAGCCTCCTTCAATTATAGGCATTTCTTCAAAATAATATTTATTGTACGTAAGTTGATTTGAACATACAGAATAAATTCCCTGAAATGTTTTGCGCTAGGTAATCAGCCTTAAAACCAGTAAACCATGGACGTGCGTGTTAAGTTTATTTACTTATTTATCGTAATTCAATCACTCAGACTCATTTAAACACCATATTTAGATTAAACCGATTAAACTCATTTATTTTTGTCAGAATACAACCAGCGATTACCGCTTATAGCCAACTCATGTCCAAGCTAATCTATACCAATTAAATCATTCCTAGGGCTCGTTAGTCAGTGACGCGACGTGTATATTTAAATACAAATTGAGAGCTATATGCGTTTTTTAAAGCGATATTAAAGAAAACAATATTTTGTAACCAATGTAACGTTTATTTATTTTAAACAGTTAATTATTGTAATTTATATTAAACACTTATAATTTAATTTATTTAACAATATTTATCTTTACAAATCGAATATCTAATTTAAAACTAAACCCAAAAAAGTTGCACTATTTGTGTGAATGTGTGGCGGCCCGGCCTGTTTCTCGAAGGTATTACATAGTCTAGATCCACGCTTCGTAGACTGAAACGGTGGCCTTATTAAGTTGCTAACATCTTAAAATGAAAAATCGAGGTGATAGAAAACATTCTGCTGCGGTTTTTATAAAAAATCTGTTGTCTGGGAATCTATTTTCAAAGTATGGCAGCACTCATTTCTCTCAAGATCCTCATCAGAAATGTCACAGGTTAATGTGGGAACGCTGTTTTTAAAGGCCTCGAGGATTAAAAATCTTAGGAAAATTTTTATTATCTCTAAATAAACCGAGAGAAACAGTCAGTGAGTTCACACTGGCCTTAATGGCCCTAAAAATACTGTTTTACGTTGACGTATGACATTTCTCTTGAGAGAAATGAATTATCTCGAGTTTAAAAATAGCCCCCCTGGTACCCTATTATCAAACTCAGGAGAGTGCTCCTACACAAGTGTTCTATCACCAGTGTTGCCAGATAACCAAAGTCAAATTATTGTACCATGCTGTAGAAATGATCGTTTTTTCATGATTTTATCGTACAAACTGGCCTTACTATTATGACGTTATCGAAGGCTGGTTAATTTAAGAGTGTATGGGGTTAGGGTAATTTGATAATAATTTTATAGAATAAACATATTACAAAAAATAATACTTAACCTATTATTGTTCAGCTAACGGTCGCCGCTTGGACTTTATCGTAAATGTGCGAACCGTTTGGTATCAGTAAACTTTCGATATACGTAGGCGCCCTAAATATATATTTACATCGACTGGATAACAGAAGAGAGCAGGACCGGACTGCTTGAAATTGTTTCGCACGGTATTCTTATTTCAATATGTACATCTTACAAATGCATAACTTATAAGTAAGTACAAGGCCTTTAATGATTCATTGAAGTTAGTGTAGTTACGTGTGAATATGCTTGTTGAATTTTTGAAGACAACTCGAGTTTATATTTTTTTAAATAAGTGGTAAATAGACTTTCCACGCCATCTCTTTGAAACATGCACACACCCACATCTTGTTGATTGACAAATATTGAAAAAAGTAATCACGATATCTCATTTAAAATGTCATAACTATTTAAAACGTCTCTTCGGTGTTTCATAAAACATGAAAAGCCAATTTCGATTAATACTAGTAAAAGAGGAAAAGGAAGAGCTTGACTTTTTAGTGTCAGATAATTTCGTCCATAAGGAAGTTTCCCATCGCCTTCAAAATAATTGATATCGCCTGCATGAGAACTGTGGCAGTGCCTGCACACTATTATTATATTATTTAATATAACGTCATGCAATATAACGATATACTCAGCGATTTGTAGTTTATTTTGTTTTCTATTAATATTTAATCTCTTCTTTTTTCCATATTTATTTTTTGCATCGAATTAAGATGGAATTAAGTCTGCTATTCCCAAAGAGTTTTGTATTTGGGATGAAAAATTATTATAACTGGATTACATTTAACGTCTCCGGTACGATTTAAGTATTTATTTAAGTATGCCGGAAATTTTAAAACATTTTGGTACTACTAAAAAGTACCCAT